GTTTGCCCTATAATTTTAAAGCTGCTTGAGATTAACAAATCTTTGTGTGCTAATACATCATTTATTTGCCACAGTAGGGTTTCTATGTTCAAGGTTGACCACCATGGTGGTCTAGTGGTTAGAGTGTCTGCCTTTGATGTGGGAGGTTGTGGGTTTGAACCCTAGCTGAGTTATACTAGAGACTTATAAAAATTATGGTACTAACTGCTGCCTCACTAGAAGTTGAGCATCAAAAGGATAGTGATAGGACTGGTTGGATTGGTGTTGGGGATAATGTGACCATGTGGGGCATCATGCTACATGTCTGTGGCATGATACCCCAGTCCTAGACATCAGTAATACTACAGACATCATAGTGATATGACTGCAAAATTGTCAAAGCAACATTAAAATCTAAATCACACACACACACGTTCAAGGTCACAGCTCAATATTTTAATTTCCATTGCATGTTCCTTTTGGTTCTGTAACATTTAAATTTGAGAGCGTAGCATGTTGCAACATGCTTACTTACATTATGTCATTAGAAGTTATACTGACTACCACATTGGGGTTCTGTCTTGAAGGTCAAGGTTACAGCTCAACCTTCAAGTTTTCTCATAATGCCACCCACCCCACACTTTATGGAGCCTTTAGGTAGATGTATGACTTTGGGTACATAAATATCATAAGCAGGTACTTTTATGCTTCATTGGGGTGTGTTGACATTACATGTTTCAATTAGGCTTTTCTGCTTTGGTTGCCTAAGTGGTTAGAGTATCCACCTCAGATGTCAGGCTTGCCTACCTTCAGTGTCTGCCCAGTAACTGCCAGTCTTATGGATTTCAGTATTGTGAACATTGTAACCATGGTAAGCAGGATATTACAATTTGTTAAATTTTATTGAGCTCTTTCTTTCTTTTTTATGCAACAGGTTTAGTCAACTTGGAGAATTTTTGTTTATTAACATATTAACAAACATTTTATAATAATGGGGGCCCCTTCTCCTCCAGGGCTTGAATAAAATACATGTAATCTATAAAATTTATACTTGTTTATGAGTCCAACTGCAAACTGCACAGACCCAGATCTGTCACCACATAATTTGTCAGCAGATCTTGGACTTGCAGTTTGTTAGGAGTAAACATGAGAAAAAACAACATAGACCCCGATGCACAGACATATTATGAAGCAGCAGATCTAATTCTTTGTTGTTTGTAGTTTGACTTATAAGTGAGTAATTATGTTACTGTCGCCATTTAGTTTGCTATGATTGTATACTCTCATGCAGAAGCAAAAAGAAAGGGTTGGGTATTTTCTGTGTGAAATAAGAGATTGAGCAATAAAGGGGTGGGGTATATTCTGTTTAAAATAGAAAATTGTAAAAGTAACTGAACATTCCAGACATGATCTTCCCGACTTTTTATGATTTTTGTTTTATTGTTATCATGGTAATGATTGACCACAGTGCTTTTGCCTAGATCAAGAAAGCTATGAAATGTGAAACTAATGTATGGAATAACAGAGATCTTCGAAGAGATATAGAATAGAACAACATGAGCCCTGGTATGTCAACTATAGCAATTTAATCAATTACATAAACAAAATGAAATTAAATCACATGTGACTGATTAACTTTCTCTCAGAAATAGTGTTACAAAATTATGCAAGATTCAATTAGCCATGCTGTTATATTGATAGAACAAATGTCATCTTATGATCCAGTGACTGATCAAATTTAGAATGCCATCATGACATCATCACCTGGTGCTTCTGGTCTTTTCCAGATCACAGCTGGTGATAGGTTAGTGTTTCCATATATGTTTCATTATTTCTCTCTCCTTAGCCTATTCAGGTCATCATCAACCTCTTGGTTGAAAATTATGCTCTTTCCACTTTGCAATACAAGTGTGAAGCTATTTTCTTTCCTTCAAAATAAAATATAGTACCCAACCTCAATACATGTCAGGTTTTCTTCTCCTGGGATCAACCAATATTCTCACTCTCTTTTGCATCAAATATCTAATATTGAAATTCAACAGAACTAGCTATGGTCATTTCACACCTAATACACACAACCCTGTTAATTGTGAATTTATGCATTTCTAGCTGCTCTTGCATTCCAACTCTGAGACCATTGGAATTAAAAAAACAACACTAACGCCGATAATTTGATAATTCCGTGCAACTAGTTTCGCATATAATATATGCTTCTTCAGGCACAAAATGTTTTGAAATAAACAGATGACGTCTTTACAGGCTAAAATAACAATTACATCATTATGTAACTTCCTAAAAAATTACGTCATTAGGTAAAAAAGGTCATAAAAAACAATGCATAATCACAACAACTATATATATATATATATATATATATATATATATATATATATATATATATATATATATATATATATATATATATATATATATATGACAGGATCTAAAAGATACACGAGTCTCTAATGAAACCTGAATCAGTAAAATAATAAAATAAAATAGAGACAAACAGTCATACAAACAGTTATAGTGTTATAAAAGATATACAATTTCACAATTGAAAAGAAAATTATACAATTTTATATAATACATTGGTATTAAGGCCATTAGGATACAAAGTATCTAACTTATGAATCCAATAAGTCTCTCTTATAAGTCTGTTCATGTCTCCATGCACAATATCTATTGGCATGAAAGAAAAATCGAGTAGACAGTGATTATAGGAAAATCAATCTTCAGCATAAATAATGCAAACCATTTAAGACAGAGAACTTAATATTCACACAATTTGTATTAGAAGTAATGCATGAAATCTTACAGTACACAATTTCTATTACAGACAAAACAACTAAATCAAAACTCTTTCATATAATGGAATATTCATTATATTCTTACCATACATTAATCATATAATTTGCATGATTATTTCTGAACTCTAGGAAAAATTAAAGTATGTATTTAAAAAATAAAAATTCAGCAAGAGTTACAAACTTACATCAATGAACACATTTTATATAATTGAAACTAACCTTGCCTTCCCAAGTTCTTGCTCGCATTTGTTTGTGATGTGATGTGATTATGATTTTTAACATAGCTTTAATAAATTTTCAGTTATATTGCTACAATGTCTGCAGTGTGGCAGTTTATAGTGATGTCTAGCATTGGAGCATCATGCCGAAGACATGTAGCATCATGTCCCACCGATTATACTGACACAAGGCTGACCAGTCATAACATTAACCTCTTAATGCTGAGCATCAAGTGAGGCATCTGTTAGTACCATTTTTGTAAGTCTTTGTTATTACTTGATTGGGGATCTAATGCACAACCTTCCGCATCCGAGGTGGATGCTCTAACCACTAGGTCAATGGAATGGTTGGTAATTTGTATAACAAGAAGAATTACTTATTAATTTCCTCATAGTCCTTCAGACTTTCCTCTTGGCAAAAAACTTTTACTGGCCTATACTAATATAAGGGAGATTACATTAAACACTGAATTCTGTCTGGTAACACCCCACCTCCATTTAGCTTTGCCAGTTGGGATTACTTTAATCACTAAATTTTTATCACTCCAATAGAAGTTGAAATAATCCTCTCTAGTCCATCTTTACTAATAATTACTTTTGGAAAATATTATTTTATGATACCCGTTTCAGACTTTCCCCGACTTTTAAAACTTTTCCCTGGTTCATTTTAGCTCTTGTCATTTGCCACTTTTGAGGGGTCCTGAATGGTTGAGTTGAGTGGTCTGAAGCATTCACTGTTATGGATCATCTTTACTAATAATTACTTTTGGAAAATATTATTTTATGATACCCGTTTCAGACTTTCCCCGACTTTTAAAACTTTTCCCTGGTTCATTTTAGCTCTTGTCATTTGCCACTTTTGAGGGGTCCTGAATGGTTGAGTTGAGTGGTCTGAAGCATTCACTGTTATGGATCAACGCCATATCACCTCTGCATGGGTTCCAGTCACAGGCTAGGCCAATGCTGCCAATAGGGGTACATGAGAAAGCTTGGCAGTAGCTTCTCATGGGTCAGTGGTTCTTTCCGGGGGTTTTCCCTGGTACTTCCTTTACTATTTATACTGACCACCATGTATAACCTTTCTTGTGCTGAAAATGGCATTAAGCCCATTAACAACAACAATAACCACTTTTGACCTTGAGTTAACATTGCACTCTATCTAGCTCTAATTAACAATTGAGTGATTCCTAATTAAAATCCAATTCATGCCCCAAGCAAAACAGATATTACATCCCTTGCAGTCAATAATTTATGGAAATCTAATCCATACATCAAATAATGTTCACAGGTCAAGCTGACCCCAACTGAATGCACTGTGAAATTATTCTACAAAAACTATTCTACAAACTTTTGCACCCTTGCATACAGTACAATCTGCTATGAGAGACCACTTTTACTGTTAACCAAAAATGGTGTCAAATGTTAGTCTTATTACAACTATAGAAGATAGAAATATTTACATGAAGATTCTCATCCCTAACTTCGGTATATCATAGTAGTGGTCATTCAAAACAGGTGCTATTTCATAGCAGTGATCTTTCAAGATATGTTTTTCTGTATTTACAAATTTAGTGGTTTTATGTGGATATATTTACAAGTTAAAGATTAGTTTGCCTCCATTATTTTTCAGCTCAGTTGAATGAAGTTTGTGTCTCTTTTGCATTCAGTATTGGTGTTAGATTGCAAGATACACAGTACAGGTCCATTCCTATAAATCAACTCAGTTTCTAATTTATTTTATGACTCATTAATCCCACAGTACTGGGTATATTTCAGTTTTGAATTTACTGGTTTATTTGATACAGTTTTAGTTTGTGCTATCAAATAAATAATGAACTTTTATAATCCAGACTTCAGTGGTTTGATTATACTGATTACAAGGGGGATATTACATTATCAAAACAAGTTATGAAGGATCATTACCCTAAAGGGAGAACAATGAGACCCTATGGTATAATTTTCATGATGGTTTATTTGCATGAAGCACTTAACTGCTTCTGTGGCTTAGTGGTTAGAGCATCCACCTTGGATGTGGGAGGTCATGGGTTTGAACCCTGGCTGAGTCATACCAAAGACTTATAAAAATGGAACTAAGCATTAAAAGATTATTGTTAGGAATGGTTGGCCCTGTCAGGATATCACTATAAACTGCCACACTGCAGACATCATAGTGATATGACTGCAATTTTTTTTTAAAGCTACAAATCACTCACATGGAGCACTTATCTTAAAAACAATATGCCCTATATACTGACTTAGGAGTTAGGTCAAACTGCAAACCTCACAGACCAGATCTACCATCAAATATACACTGGCAGATCTGGGTCTATGTAATGGATAATCAGTAGAACATACAACATAGACCCTGATTTGCTGGTGCATTATGTGATGGCTAATCAGTGTCCATGCTGTTTGCAGTTGGACTTATTAGTTGAGTATAGATGGCATTGTATCACAAAAGTTATATCACCTGCTAAGTATCACAATATTTAATGGCATTTGTGTAGATGTTAATATTCAGTGTTTAGATTTAGCTCAGTTTCTTTCACACTGTTTTATGTACTACTCATCATAGACAAAATGGAGGGCACTGTGACCTACTTTTTAACCTTTTAACATTTAGATAGTTTATATGACAGTAGTGCTAATAAGAAACTGGATGGGTGCATTTTATTTTACATATATGTTCTTAGCATGGATAAAAGTAGATCACATCAACTTATTTTTTTATTGTTCTCTTACACTTTTTTTTAATTATTAGATGGTTTTCTTTTGTTCCTGAGGACAACTATGGAGATTTTATTAATTGACTTTCCCTCGGCATTAGGTCTGCACTAGAATGTTTTTAAATCAAAAGCTATTTGAATTAGAAATTTTAAAAATTTCAGATGAAAAAACATGTCCTGAAATTAATATTGACTAGTCAGTCATCAATTTTAGATGACTGGGAGTAGATTTCTTGCTGAATTTGGAGGAATTGGTTGAACCTAATTATTTGACAAAGCTGAAGGAAGTAAAGAAATTGCTTGGCTGGTGGAGCAGAAGGAAAAATTTGTCTCTTATTGAAAAATTACTTTGATAAATTCCTTGATTTATGCCAAAATCTATAAATCTTTCTTCTGCTCTGCCATGTCCTCCACCCCATATAGAAATTGAACTGAATACATTATTTTTCATGTTTGTTTGGGGTGGCAAAACTGAGTGGTTAAAAAGACAACTATAACTTATAATATAAAAGGTGGAGAATTAATGTTATTGTACTTGCTAAACACCTTTTTAATATGCAAGGATTTCTATTATGTTTTGATGAAATAAAACAGCACATTCTAATAATTTCATTTAGTATTTTGCTCTTATCTCAAAGATATAACCATGAAGTGGAAAAAGAAAACTAAAAGATTTTTGAATGTGGAGATGATGTCCATGTAATATTGGACAAAACGTAACTCCTTACAGCAAGAGCAAAGAACACATTCATTAAGATCTAATAAGAAACTTGGTACAGGTAGCAAGGGTATGCAATTGGTAAATGAACCAACTCTTTTGTTTCGGATAAACTTTTTATAAAAGACACAATGTTGATTAGCTTTAACTCTAGATTCCTACACAAAATTACTGCCACAAATCAGTTTTTAAAAAAGAATAATTCAAGTGATAATGAGAATTATGCCTTATGTAAGGTGGGAATAGAACAAATTAAGCACTTATTCTATGACTGTTCAGTTACTGAATTGTTTTGGAATTTATTTGTGGAATGGATCCAGAATTATGACCCAAATTTTAAAATTACATGAAATGATGTCTTTATAAGAAATAATAACTTTGATGATCTTCTCAACTTTCTAATTTTGCTTGCAAAATGTGTTATATACAGATCACATTGTGCATCAAATATCCCAAATCTCATCTATTAAAAAAAAATGTCTTATCATACAAAAGGCTGGAAAAAATATTTCGCCAAAGTGAATAAGAGAAGTAATGAGTTTAAGAAAAAGTTGACTCTTTTGTCAACATTTAGCTTGATTTCTTAGTTGTTTTTTACTTTCTCATCAAGCAAACAAACAGAAAATGAAAAACACTTACTTTAGGGTTTGTAAATGAGTGGATCCTTTTATATAATATTTGTGTGTGTGTGTGTGTATGTGGATGTGTGTGTGTGTGTGTGTGTGTGTGTGTGTGTGTGTGTGTGAATGTCATGACTACATAAAGGAATACAAGTAAAGATCATGACATAAAATAGTTTTAAGGTAATGCCCCACACACCTGGTAAGTAAAAGTAGTTAGGTAATTATAAGTATGAGTAATTATAAGCAACAGTAATTAAGTAAGTAATTGCAAGAAACAGTATGAAGTATACAAAGAACCCAGTAATAATCTGATACTGAAATGAAGAAGATTCATTTTTTTAAAATACAAAATAATTTTTATGTGACATATACATCAAGAAAAAAAAGATTTAAAAAGGGATAGCTAAATATTACGTATTTTCTATATTTTTCTTAAGCTAACTTAGGAGCAATTGCTCTTTCACAAATAAGTATGTGCTATAATAAATTTAGAAACTATATATATATATATATATATATATATATATATATATATATATATATATATATATATATATATATATATATATATATATATATATATATATATAAGAAATTTTCAGAGTTATATGTTACAGTGCAGCTAATTCACAAATACTGAAAAATGCTGTGATAGTAAGATATATATTTGTGGTAAACAGCACTGTACTGTAACGGAATACCATATATGCTCATATATAAACTACAAGCATGATAGACCCAGATCTATCATTACATAAAGTGCTTGCAGATCTGGGTCTGTACATTTTGTTAGGAGTGATCAGTGGAACAAACAATATAGACCATAAGTTGCTGGTGCTATTGTTGGCAGTTAGATTTAACTTGTAGGCATTAATGGTAGTAATGGTAGCTGAACATGCCTCAGTGGGATAGCTCTTGTTTCACTGCACACAAAACCTTGATACCCAGGTAACCCTTTGCAATAAATAATCTTTGAGCAGGATTTATTTGCTTGTGAATTTGATGATGGAGTTGAACTTAATTGGATTCTGAGGATGTTAGGGTCATACACAGAAGAATGAAACCTATTTAAGTTTTGAATGTTCTGGATGAAAATTAAGTAGATATAAGTGCATGCATGGAGCCACATTAACCTGACAGGATGGATCAGTGTCCAACAGATGTGCCAAAGCTGAGTATGTATCATGTAGTGCAGCCTGCTCACAGCTATTTAAAAAAATTTAGAAAACAATATAAAATGGAGCATTTAAGAATATGTTTAGTCATATGTATCTGCCAAAAAAATGCACCATGAATTGGAGGCATATATTTTCTGCTAGTTTTTCCGTAAAATGATTAATGAAAAGTAATCAGAACATAAATTGATCCTGATAGTATAGAACAAGCAAAGTTGTATGGTAATGACATATAGAAAAGACATATTGATAATGAAACTAAGCTGCTATGCTGTACCAAGACAACAACATCCGGTGGCTGAGTGGTTAGAGCATCTACCTTGGATGTGGAAGGTCGTGGGTTCGATCTCGAGCAAAGTCATTCCAAAGACTTATCAAAATGGTACTAACAGCTGCCTTGCTTGATGCTCTGCATTAAGAGGTTAGTGTTAGGACTGGTCAGCCTGGTGTTAGGATAATGTGACTGGGTGGGACATGATGCCACATATCTGCAGCCTTGTGCCTCAGTGCTCTACATCACTATAAACTGTCACACTGCAGGCATCATAGTGATATGACTGCAAAATTGTTAAAGCTATGTTCAAAATCCAAATATGTCACACACACACACACACACACACACACACACACACACACAGAAAAGAGTATCACAATATCACAAGGGATCTGGTAATGTACTGGAATGATCATACACCCTCAAATATGTGATGTTATTATTAATTTATGTAGTCTCTTCAAAGAACTGTATATACCCACATATAAGTGTGTCTCTTTAGAGTACTGTATATACCCACAAAAAAGTTTGCCTCTTCAAAGCAGGGTATATACTTGCATATAAGTTTATCTCTACAAAGTACTGTATATTCTTAAAGTATGGCTCTTCAAAATGCTGTTATACTCACATATAAGTTTGCCTCTGCAAACTACCATATATACTTATGTATCAGTTTGCTCTGCAAATTCTGTATATACTCACATATATATTTGCCTTTGCAAAATTCTGTATATACTCACATTTAAGCTTGCCTCAACAACCCATGCAACATGCAAATGTAGACCTGGGTCTATACAATTTGAAGTTATATCTGACTTGTGTTTGAGTACATATGGTAAAGGACCAAGACATAAGCATCAGCATTAGCATGCTTAAATTCATATACATATACAGCCTCACTGCATCAAAACCATAATGTTTTTAACTGGGACCTAGGCATCAGTTTGGAGTTGGTTTCATAGTGCTGTACTGGTGGAGGGGACCAAGAGGTGTAACTTTGTACAGTAGATGTATTATATTATATTATATTATATTATATTATATTATATTATATTATATTATATTATATTATATTATATTATATTATATTATATTATATTATATTATATTATATTATATTATATTATATTATATTATATTATATTATATTATATTATATTATATTATATTATATTATATTATATTATTATATTATATTTTTCATGGTTGACTTTATGTATTTAGCTCCTGGCTTTCTTGTAAAACCCTATATGTATCTGCTATAATTGGAATTATGAAACCTGATGTGGCTATTTGTCTGTGTGTGTGAGAGATTAGGAGTTTTAATGTAGCTTTAATAATTTTTTCAGTCATATGCTATGATGTCTGCAGTATGGCAGTTTATAGTGATGTCTAGCACTGAGCACTGGGGTATTATGGCACAAACATGTACCATGATGTCCCACCCAGTCACATTATCCTGACACCAGGCTGATCAGTGCTACGCTGACCTCTTAATGCTGAGCAGATAGCAAGGCATCTGTTAGTACCATTTTTATTCCTTTGGTATG